GTACCTCCGGCTCCAGCAGCACCAGCACCTCCAGCTCCGGCAGCTCCAGCACCCCCAGCACCTCCAGTACCAGCAGCTCGAGGAGCTGTAAAACTCCAAGCTCCAGCACCATAGCGGCCTCGCCAAACGACCCACTCCCGAAGCTGCTGCAGGGAGGGCGTCTCGAGTCGACTAGGCGGCTGCTGCTGTCCAACGCGAGGACCTGCAGCAGTAGCACCCACGGCCCCACCACCACAAGGACTTGCAGCACCTCTAGAGTCAGCACCCCCAGAGTCAGCACCCCCAGAGTCAGCACCCCCAGAACCCTCACCCCCAGTCTTAGCACCCCCATGACCAGCACCCCCAGTCTCAGCACCCCCAGTCTCAGCACCCCCAGGACCAGCACCTCATGCGTCCTCACCCCCAGTGTCACCACCCCCAGCAGCACCAGTGTCCACAGCTACAGGCTGCAGAGGCGGCGAAGACGGTCGAGGCGGAAAACCAGGAGGGGTCTCCAAGCGTGGAGAGAGACGAGTGGTCGCCGTGTCGTCAGCAGCGGGGTCACCCCCTCAGCTGGGCCAGAGGTGTCAGAGGAGATCACCAAAGGCTCAACCAAGGGGGGTGGGTCTACCTGAGACACACCTGAGGGAACAGGACCCTGTGGGGGGAGGGGGTCTACCGGAGGGGGACCTGGGACCAGGAAGAGGGGCGGCAGGGAGAGTGGGGAAGACACGTGGGCAAGCCAATGCGACGCTCAGCAATCCCATTCTGCTATGGGGAGGCCGGAAGCGTGAACGACTGGGCGATGCCCTCTGCACGACAGAAGGTCTCAAGAAGGCCGGACAAGAACTCACCGCCTCTGTCAGAGTGCAGACGCAGGACTGGAAGGTCCTGCTGAAACCGAGCGCTCAGCTGGCGACGAACAGCGATGATCCAGTCGATCAAAACACCACGGACATCCGCCTTGCTCCGCAAGGGGAAGACCGTGGTGTAGCGCGTGTAGTCGTCAACAATCAGCATAAACTAGCGCTCCTTGTCATGTCCACTGATGCGGGCTGGGCTCCACACGTCCATGTGGAGAGTCTGAAGAGGAGCAGTGGTCGGCGGAAACGAGGAGGAGTGAGGAGTGGCGCGCTGCCGCCCCTCGACGCAGGGAAGGCACGACGGTGCAGGTGAGCGCGGGAGCGGGGGCAGGGACCTGGAGAGGCCAGAAACAAGGAGACGAGAGTGCATGCCACTCAGGCGCGACAGGGAGGGGTGACCAAGACGGTGGTGCCAGAGGAGAGTCTGGTGCGAGAGTACCCGGCACGAACAAGGCGCAGCTAACTGACCTGACGCAGCTACCTGACCCGACGCAGCTACTTGTGCAGACTCAGTGGTTAGTGTGTACAGGCCAGAGCCAGGACTCCGAGTGAACGTGGCGAGGTGCTCGCCAGTGCGTGAGTCCGTACAGATCGCCACAAGCTCACCCCCAGGAGTAGTCACAGTGACAAACTGGTCATGGAGGACAGCGTTACTCACCAAGTTCTTAGAGAACGAGGGGAGGTGGAAACCTGTGAGGGAGCCTGAGGGGGCCCTCGGACACGGGAGAACGGTGGAGGCACGTGCTACGACTGGGCCCCCAGAGGGTCAGCCAGAGAGACCGGAACAGGTGCAGTGAGTGGTGTGACTGTGGTGCAGTCACGGAAGAAGCAGCGAGTCGCGCCTGAGTCAAGCGTGAAGGTGTGCAGAGCCTCTACAGAAACCGCACCTGTGCTACCAGGCTCACAGACACCTAGACTAGTAGCCTCTGCACTACCAGGGACGCGTTGCTGCGAAACCCACTCGCGAAGCTGCTGCGGTGAGAGGGTCTCCTGCTGACGCTGCTGCCGCTGCTGTCCAGTACCTCCAGCACTATAACCCCCACCACCAGGACGGCCTCGCTGAATAACCCACTCATGAAGCTGCTGTGGCGAGAGAGTCTCCTGGCGACGCTGCTGCCGCTGCCGTCCAGTACCTCCAGCACGAGTGAAGTCCCAAGCTCCAGGACCAGAGCGGCCTCGCCGAATGACCCACTCTCGAAGCTGCTGCGGCGATAGAGTCTCCGGCTGACGCTGCTGCTGCTGTCCTCCCCCAGACGCTGCTACTACCGTGATAGTAGCCATGACAGGCAGTGGCAGTCAGTAGCAGCGGCGCAAGGGCGTCAGCAGCGACTGCTGTAGTTTCAGTTGTAGCAGTAGCGGTGGTCGCTGTGGCTGCAACAGCAGTAGCGACTGTTGGAGTGGCTGTGGAGGCCAGTAGGGTGCGTGGACAGCAGGGCACGGGCTAGCAGCAGGGCACGGGCAGCGCAGGCACGCGGGCGGTAGGTCAGCGCGGGCTGCAGGGCAGAGCGGCGCGCGGGCGGCAGGGCAGGGCAGCGCGCGGGCTGCAGGGCGGCGCGCGGGCAGAGCGCGCGGGCTGCAGGGCTGCCGGGCGCGGGCTGCAGGGCGCACAGGCTGCAGAGCAGCGCGGGGGCTGCAGGGTTGCGTGGGCAGGGCGGCGCGCGGGCTGCAGGGCAGGGCGGCGCGCGAGCTGCAGGGCAGGGCGCGCGTAGGCAGCAGGGCGCGCGGGCTGCAGGGCGACGCGGGCAGCAGGGCGACGCGGGCAGCAGGGCGTGCGGGCTGCAGGGCGACGCGGGCAGCAGGGCGACGCGGGCTGCAGGGCGTGCGAGCTGCAGGGCGTCGCTGGCAGCAGGGTGACGCGGGCTGCAGGGCGCGCGGGCTGCAGGGTGACGCGAGCAGCTGGGCGACGCGGGCAGCAGGGCGTGCGGGCTGCAGGGCGACGCGGGCAGCAGGGTGACGCGGGCTGCAGGGCGTGCGAGCTGCAGGGCGACGCAGGCTGCAGGGCGCGCGGGCTGCAGGGCGACGCGAGCAGCAGGGCGACGCGAGCAGCAGGGCGTGCGGGCTGCAGGGCGACGCGGGCAGCAGGGCGACGCGGGCTGCAGGGCAGGGCAGCGCGCGGGCTGCAGGGCTGCAGGGCAGGGCAGCGCGGGGGGGCTGCAGGGCTGCGCGGGGAGGGCAGCGCGGGCAGGGCAGCGCGCGGGCTGCAGGGCAGGGCAGCACGCGGGCTGCAGGGCAGGGCAGCGCGCGGGCTGTAGGGTTGCGCGGGCAGGGCAGCGCGCGGGCTGCAGGGCTGCGCGGGCAGGGCAGCGCGCGGGCTGCAGGGCGTGGCGGCGCGCGGGCTGCAGGGCAGGGTAGCGCACGGGCAGCAGGGCGGCGTGCGGGCACGGCAGGGAAAAAAAAAACGTGCAGTTCCTATGGTTGGTGGGCCCTAACGGAGCGGTCCTACGGACGAACCAGCTCTGAAACCATGTCAGAATCACTAAGCATGAACGGATGAACTATGCAAGAGTGAGATACAAGTAGTAAACCCTAACTGGGGTTGTACTCTATACTGAGCACCTCACTGTAGCCTTGCAGAACTAAGAACATATAAATATGTTTTGACAGGAGGTAGAGGAGAGAGAGGGAGAGAGACAAACAGAGGAGAAAAAAAGGCAGGTAAAAGAGAGGGGAAGACAAGCAGAGCAGAAAAAGGTTGAAAATTTGGAGACATCGAAGAGGCGAGGGGAAAGCCTGAAAGAGAGTCTACAAAAGGCACAGCAGATTGTGCAGCAGTATAGGGAATGTGGGAGGGAGTAGAAAAGAGTAAGTTAGCAGGGAGGGAGGGAGATGGCAAGGAGGAAATGAGTTGGCAGGGAGGGAGTGAGTGAGTGTTAGGGATGTAGAGTTAGTAGGTAGGATGTGGATTAGCAGGGAGGGCGTGGGTTAGTAGGGAGGGTGTGGGTTAGCAAGGATGTAGTGATTGGGCAGGCAGGAATTAATTTGGCAGGGGGAAAATGAGTAAGGAGCAAGGATGTGAGTGATTGGCAGGGAGCGAGTGAGATAGTCTACTGCCACTCCTAGTGCATTACTATGATGATACTAATCCTGTACTACCACTGTTACTGCAATATTGTTCGCTCTACCACCACTCGTCGAAGTCACACATATGCCAGTGTGGGCTTGTCACAAAGCTTAGTATGCTAGTGTTTATTAAATTAAGCAAAACCTGCACCACCGCACCACACCCCCCCCTCCACTGCACCACTGCACGTAGCACTGCACCCCTCTGCAGTTCACACGATAGGACAGTGTAGCAACATAAGCATGAAGCAAGGTTGCCACTTGCTCTTGCCATCCTCTCAACCATGCGGGTCATCTTTGGGAAACCACTACTGGAATCTCAGTAGTAATGTCCTTGGCACATAGGCGCTCTGTAGATGCACCTCAATCTTCTGCTAGACTCATCGGTAGCCCATCAAAGCTCATCAGTGCTGTCCTTGGCACATAGGCGCTCTGTTGGTGCATGGCAGGGGAGGGCAGAGAGAGATGCAACGGTGGTGGGAGGAGGGAGAGTGTGAGAATGCAGGATATGAGGGTATGAGTGAGAGGAAGAGGCAGCGCATTATGCACAGACACATGGGGGCGAGAGCACGTGGCAGTTAGAGCACATACGGGAGTGAGAATACGTGGGAGGGACCATGGGGGGCGGTCAATCAGACATGCATGGGTGGCGGTCAATCAGACATGCATGGGTGGCGGTCAATCAGAAATGCATGGGTGGCGGTCCATCAGACATGCATGGGTGCGTCCAAGATGGTTTTTAAGAATGTGTCAAGAATGGGGAGGGTGCAGGGTGGAGGAATTGGGGAGGGGGGACGAAAGAAGTGGGTCGAGGGAGTGGCGAAGGGGGATGAATACTGAGGTACTCGTAGGTGGAGACCATGGCAGTGCCCCAGTGCACGGTCCTGGCACAGCATGCACTGTGCCCTTTGAGTCGAGTCAACAGTCACCAAGGGAGGAAGTTTTGCTTAGTCGACTCAAAGTGACCGAGGGAAAGAGGGGGATACATACTGAGGTACTCGTAGGTAGAGACCATGGCAGTGCCCCAGAGCATGGTGCTGGCACAACGATATTCCCTTTAGTCTACAGTAATACAGAGAGAGGAAAGGAAATACGTACTGAGATATTCGTAGGTGGACACCATAGCAGTGCCCCAGAGAATGGTGCTAGCGCAGCGGGGGGCGAAGCCACGGTACAGCCCTCTCACCCCGTCCTGCTCCACTAGCTGCCTCACCACCGCGGCCACTGTGACTGCTGCTCCGCTCCTGCGCCCCACCTGATGGGTGAAGTGCGGGAGAAGGAAAGGGGGGGTGTGAGTGGGATGAAGAGTGGCACAGCCACGGTACAGCCCTCTCAACCCGTCCTGCTCCACTAGCTGCCTCACCACCGCTGCCACTGTGACGGCCGCCTACGTTGGCAGATACGCGTATCGCGTATAATACGCTAGCGTATTATACGCTGGGTATATACGCGGTACGCCAGGGCTGGCGTACTGGTGATACGTAAAAATACGCTGGGCGGGCAGGTAAAACTTTTTTCCCGGGCAGGGCTACAAAAACCTGTTTCAGGGGGGGGGGGGGGGTTATGTTTCCCAAAAACACATGTCATAATTTAATTTCATAAATATCCAGAAATACATCTTTGGGCCTACTTACTTCTCCCCATACATACATCCCCTCCCCACCCTCTAGATTTCCTGGCGGGGCTTTTCCCCTTACAAATGAACTCGTCATCCATTATGAGCAGATGCCTTGGTGAACAACATTTGAGGCGTGGTTGGATATGAGAGGTTTGGTGGGGTGGTGTGTGGTTGGGGTAGTGGGAGGTTTGGTTTACGAAATTTGAATTTCAGAACTGGGTTGGGCGATGTGCGACTTCGCGGTAACAAATCGCGAAGTCGCAAAACCTTCGCAAAATTTTTCAATTTTGAAATTTTGTTTTTGGCGGGCAGCCCGGGCGTATTTCCCATATTTCGAGCGTATTTGCGTACCACGTACATACGCAAGCGTATGTACGTGGTACGCAACCCTGCAGAAAGCGTATCTGCCAACGTAGACGGCCGCCCCGCTCCTGCGCCCCACCTGCAATATGGGGTAGAGGGGAGGGCGTGTGAGTGGGACGGTGTGTGTGGGATGGTGTGTGTATGATGCACAGCCGCACATTCGGCACATGGACTTGCACGCATGTACACACCACCTGCAGGCACACCCGCATCACCTGAATGCACGTCTTGACGGTGAAAAGCAGGGTGGTGGCGAGGGCGCTGCTAGTGGGGACACTGCTGTGCTGCTGTGCTGCTGGTCTATGCGTGCATACGACACATTCTTACCTGAATGCGCGTCTTGACGGTGTCAAGTGGGGTGGTGGCGAGGGCGGAGGCCAGCCTGGCGCACATGCCCCCCCCCACCTGCACGCCCACCACCAGCGCCAGCGGAGGCTCTGCTGAGCTGCTGCTGCGCTGCACTGCTGCCTGCTGGTGCATGCATACACCCCTCCCCCCCCCCCCCACACACAATTCACCTGAATGCGCGTCTTGACGGTGTCAAGCGGGGTGGTGGCGAGGGCAGAAGCCAGCCCGGCACACATGCCCCCTCCCACCTGCACACCCACCACCAGCGGCAGGGGAGGCGCTGCTTCTGCGACGCCTGCTGGTGCCCACAACCGGTCATACGAACTGTGGGGTGATGGGGGAGCGGGGGTTCGCAAAGTGGGGGGGAAGGGGAAGGGAAGGGCCACAGAGGGACGAGAGAGGGTGAGGGAGAGGTGAAGAGGACAGCCCAGGGAAAAGAGCACGCCACACAGCAGTGTCGGCCCTGCGACCTCACCTCCAGAGCAGTGCTTTCCCTGACCTGACTGAGACCTTACCCTTCCAGCAGTCCCTCCCCTGATATGCGGCCTCACCTCCAGAAGAGGCGTTGGGTGGCGCCATAGGTGCCCCACGGTACAGCACCTGTCATGTCAGCCCTGCAATCTCACGTCTAGAGCAGCGCTTCCCCTCCTTGACACCTCAACCTTCCACCAGTCCATTCCCTTAGTACAAGCCTTTCCTCTAAAATGAAGCCCCTCACCTCCAGAAAAGGCGTTGGGTGGCGCCATAGGTGCCCCACCAGATGAACCCTGAGGGAGCATACGTGAGCACCGACAGCCCAAACCCACGGTACAGCCCGCGCGGCCCCTCCGTTCGGAGAATCGTCACGAGTGCATCAATTCCCCCCTTGTATCGCACTGCTGCTGCCCCTGCACCTCCTGCTGCTGCTGCTGCTGCTGCTGGTGTGGCAGATGCTGCTACTGCGGCGGCTGCTAACGGTGCTCCTGGTGCTGTGGGTGCGGGTCTGGTGGCGTGATGGGGCGGCAGGTCGCCCTGCTGTGCCACCAGACGGGAGCTGATCTGATGATGGGCGAGTGGGGGGAGGAAGGGGGGGAGAAGAGGGTGGGGAAAGGGAGTGCGACTATTTCTGAGGCGCCTCAAAACTAGACTCCTGGTGCAGCGGGTGCGGGTATGGTGGCGTGGTGCAGCGGTAGGTCGCCCTGCTGTGCCACGAGGCGGGAGCTGATCTGATGGGGGCTGAGAGGGAGGGTGGGAGACGGCGAAAGAGAATATAACGGAGGGAAAGGTGGAGAAAGTTGGGACGAGGGGAAGAGAAGAGAAAGGAGGGGCGGCAGGTCGCCCTGCTGCGCCACGAGGCGAGACCTGATCTGATAGCGGGCGAGTGGGGGGCGGGTGAAAGGAGCACGGGCACATGGGAGGGTGGGGCAGGTTGGGACGAAGGGAGAGTGGGGCGAGTAAAGACGACCCCCAGTCCCCCACCCCCCAACCCCCCGTCCCCCACTCTCTAAACCCCTCGTCCCCCACTCCCCCACTCTCGCTCCATCACTCTCTTCTACTCACCACGTCCATGGGCACAACATTGTCCACGTCCACCCCTTCTCCCTTTCTCCACCTCTCCCCCACTCACCACGTCCACGGGAACAACAACAGCCTGGGTGGCAAGAGACGCGCACATGCCGCCCACTGCACTCGCCAGCCCTGCTGCTGCCGTATCAGACAAATGCAGCCACCGCCCTGTGCCGCCCACCACACTGCCACTCCCACCTCTGCTCTCACTGCCCCCGCTGCTCCCACCACTGCCACTGCTGCTGCCGCTGCCGCTGCCACCGTTACCGCTGCTTGTGCTGGCCGCATCGTCAAACGTCCCCTCTACAGGCTGCTCCGCTACCCCGTTAATCCCCTTGAGCGTGTTGGCCTTGACAGCCTCCAGCACGGCCATATAAATGATCCGCCCGGGCAGCATCCCCGCCACCACAGTGCCCATGCCGCGGAAGAACCCCCTCACGCCCTCCGTGCGCGCTATGTGCCGCGCCATGCCCACCGCTAGACTCACAGAGGACGGGCGCCTGCCCCCCGCTGCTGCTGCTCGAGATGCCCCCCCTGCTGCCCCCCCTGCTGCACCCCCTGTTGCTCCGCCTACTGCTCCCCCTGCTGCTCCGCCTGCTGCCCCGCCTGCTCCGACTCCTCCCCCTGCTCCGCCTGTTCCCCCTGCTGCTGCGGAAGCCCCTCCTCCTGCGGATCTTCCTCCCGGTGCTGCTGTTGCTCCGCTCACCGCTGTTCCCGCTGTTCCTGCCGTGCTTGGTGCTACCGGCGCCACTGGCGCTTCACTTGCGGCTACCCTCATTTCTCCGCCCGTTCTTGCGGCACCCGCGGATGTCCCTGCGCCGTTCATCCCAACGCGGGCTTCCGCTCCCCCCGCCTCCACCGCCCGAGCTGCTCCAATGCCCCCCGTTCCCGCCGCCCCTCCTGCTCCCGCCATCCTCGCATTGACCGCAGACCTTGCGGAAGCAGCAGGCGCGGCTGTGCCAGGGGAAGCGGAAGGGGGAGCGGAAGCGGGGGCGGCATGGGCGGCGGAGAGCGGGAGAGGGGAGACCTGGAGGCGCGTCTTGATGACGGAGAGCGGGTAGAGCGCAACGGTCAGCCCGCTGAAGAGCCCCGCGCCCACCACGAACATGCGCGCCTTGTCCAACCTGCGGCGCGCGGGCGCAGGATCCGCGGAGGCGGGGGGTTGGGGGATGGGGAGACGAGGGTTTTGGAAAGAGAATGAGGGGAATTGGCCGTGGGAGGACGAGTCAAGAACCCTAGAAGGTTGGAATGCTCGATTGCACAATGCGACGATCCGCGGGGAAAGCTGGGAGCAGACGCAGCCGCGAGGGGACCGGAAGATAGATCGATAGAAGGCGCGGATTGCGCTGGGGATCAAGTAGAGATTGACTGGCTAAGGAGGCGAAATGCGAGGGCGAAAGGATTTGGGGGAGGTAGAAAGCGCGAGGGGACACGCGAGTAGGGCCTCGGTGAAATCGTGGAAGGCGGGAGCGGGGCAGTGGAGGGAGCGCGGATTGGTTCGACGGACCTGTCCCAGTCGATTTCAGGCGATGCGGTGCGAGGACGGAGCGCACCGTGGTCGGGCAGGGACGCCATAGCTGTTGGTGTTGGGTGATAAAGAAACTGGCGTTGTGCGGTAACTTGTGTGAAGTTATTAAATGAAAAAAAAATGTTGACAAACTTTGGTGACGTGACTTCATGGCCCAATGGATAAGGCGCTGGTCTACGGAATCAGAGATTCTGGGTTCGATCCCCAGTGGGTTCGTGCTCTCGTGATACAGTTTTGTTTTCACCAAGCTTAGCCAGAACAACCACTACAGAATGTCATAACACCAAGTTATTTCCCCCCAACCCAGACCTACCCTATTACACAGCATGACCAGAGCCTACGGAGCAGCTCGAATGAACCCCCCCCCTACCCCAACGGTACTCTATCACCCCACCACCATCCCCAGACTGTCATAACACCAAGTTATTTCCCCCCAACCCAGACCTACCCTATTACACAGCATGACCAGAGCCTACGGAGCAGCTCGAATGAACCCCCTACCCCAATGGTACTCTATCACCCCACCACCATCCCCAGACTGCCCCATGCCCACATGTGTGGCAGCAGCAACCGAGACGTCAATAACGGGCGGCACGAGGGCGGCAGCAGGCGCACCCAGGTGCCACACGCGAATACCATGCACGCCTGCATTCGCTTTCAGGCTCGCACTGGGGCTGCTGCCACTCACACACGCACTCCCACACGCACTCGCACACGGGCCCGAGTGTGTGGAGTGCGCAGGCGCATGGGTGTGCCGGGCTGTGCCTGTGGCTGTGCCTGTGCCGGTGTCCTGGCTTGCTCCATAACTCACTGCTGGGCTTGCTCCGTGACTCACTGCCCCATGACTCACTGCCCCGTGGTTCACAGCAGGGCTTGCTGCTGCATGGCTGACAGCAGGGCTCCCAGCACTGTGCTCTGAGGCACTCAGACACGGGGTTGGACCGGCGTTACGGCGTGGGTAACCAGCAGCAGTGGTGGTGTCTGGGGCAGTGCCGTGAGCGAGGGGTGGTGGTGCGGCTGCAGTGTGGTGGCGACGGTGCTTGGGGATGGGTGCTCCGCCTCCTCCTGTGCTACCGTGTTTCGTGCCACTCGTGGTCTCCCTGTGCTCATGCCCGTGCTCATGCCCGTGCCCATGCTCTTGCTCATGCTGATGCTCAAGCTGAGTAAGTTGCTGTTGCTGATGAAGCTGCTGATTGAGATGCCAGTGGTCATGATACTGTTGAGCCTCTTGGTAGTCTCGCAGTTTCTGCTGCTGGCGCACTTCAGGCACCAGCAGGTCTTCTATCAGAGATGCTTGTAGTGAGGCACTGGCAGCAGCGCCAGAGCCCTTCCTGCCCTGCTGGTGCTGGCTCCGTCGCATGCTGCTCTCCATGCTCATGCTTCGACACACACTCCTATCCCTCTTCTCACGGCTGCCCATGCCTCCAGCGGCAGGCTCGGCAGTAGGCTCGGCAACAGGGTTTATCACAGGTTCGGGCACAAGATCAGGATTGTGCCAGCTAGATTCCATCTGAATGGGCTGAGGTTGCTGACCTGGCAGAATCCCTGCCTGATGTGGCTCCAGAGCGGAGGCCATTGAGCCACCTTGCCCAGCTGGCTCGCTCTGATTGAAAAGCTGCAGCAGCCCCTTGCGCACCCTGTAACTGGCCAGGCTGAACCCCTGCCGAGCCTCTGCATTTGCTGCTTGCATTCCCCCCGGTTCATTCTCCTGTACGTGTCTTTTCTCCTCCACGTGCTTTCCCAGTGAGCGATGGCTGGTGGGGTGAGAGGGCGAGAAGGAGGAGGAGGAGAGCGGGTGCCGAGGCCGCGAGGGAGGGCGAGGGGACGAGGAGGAGAGAGGGGAGGGCTGGGACCCCGAGTGGTTGTTCTGAGGGGAAGAGGAGGACGACAGGGGGGAGTGGCGGGACGAGGGGTGGGGGGGAGGGTGGGGGAAGACCCGGTGGGCTGGGGAGGCGCGGTGGCGAGGGGAGGGGAGGGCGCGGGGGGAGGGGGAGCGGAGGTAGAGGGAGCGGGGGGAGGGGGAGCCGGGGGAGCGGAGGCAGCGGGCGGAGGGGGAGAGGTTGATGTAGAAGGGCGAGCAGCCCGTACGACGAGGGGGAGCGGCAGCAGCGGGTGAGGGAGAGTTGATCCAGTCCTCTAGGTTGATCAGCGTGTTCAGCTGCGCGTTGGGCTCGCCTGCAGCGGACAGAGAGGGGCAGGGGGGGGGGAGAGTGGGCGTGTGAGTGGAAACGGGCGAGGATAATCTAGCAGGCAATTCACAGTGTGGGCAAGCACAGGAGTAGGCGGCTTCTGAGGCTTCTCAATGGCTGCGTGCACCAAGGGGATAGAGACGCACCTATCTTGAGAGCAGAGAGGCTGCTCCCCGCGCCCGCCACGTCCATGGCTTCGCCAGCTTCCCCTCCGGCCTCCCTGGGACTCCCTGCTGCTCGCTCCTCATCGCCACTCCCCGTCGCACCAGCAGCAGCGGCAGCAGCAGCGGCAGCAACAGCGGCAGCACCAGTGCCGGTCATGCTGTCAACCCCGTTGTTGTTACCGGCGGCACTGCGGCAACCAGCACAGCGTGCACAGCCGCCCCCACCCCCGCCAGCAGCGCCAGTAGCGCCAAGGCCGCTTCCCCCTCCTCCAGAGGAGTTTCGCTGCAGGCGCCTCTGGTGCAGTGATAGCTTCGACTGCCGCCCGGACGAGGAAGATGGGCGGCTGCCGGCCGACAGAGGCCGGCCGGAGGACGAAGAGGGGCGGGAACGCGGAAGGAGCGGTTTGGCGTGTTGGTGCATGTGGGGCGGCAGGGAGGAGGGGACTGGGAGCGAGGGGGCGGAGGCGGGTGCTGCCTCTGTGGCAGGTGGAGTGGGAGTGTTGGTTCTTGCGTCCTTGCTCGCATTCTTGTTTGCATTCTCCTCACCGTTCATTGCCGCTTCACTGGCACTGGCAGCAGAATCATGAGCAGCAGCACCAACGGCAGCGGTAGCAGGAGCAGGAAGAGTTTGTGACAGGGGCTCTTGATTTGCACATGCCATATCATTGGCACATGCAACGTCCTCATGACCAGCATGGGCCCCATGAGCCTGGGAACACCCTTGCGCCCCACCCTCGCTCACAGCCATCCCACGCTCATGCCCTTTGCTGCCGCTGCTCGTGCTGCTGTCACTATCACCGCCATCACCTCCGGCCTGCTTATCACCCTTCTGGTCCCCACCGCTCTGGTTACCACCGGTCTCATTACCACCATTCTGGTTACCAACGGTGTGGTTACAGTCATCCTGAAGGCCACTGGAAGCCACATGCTGCAGCTGTACCTCCTGGTTACCACCATTCTGATCACCACCATCTCCGTTCCCCCCAAGGCGCGCCCCTCCCCCGCGTGCGCGCAGGCGGGCCTGTCGCTTGAGGTGCAGGTTCCAGAAGTTCTTCACATCGTTATCGGTGCGGCCGGGCAGGTGGCGGGCGATGTGAGCCCACTTGTTGCCCACCGCCCGCTGCAGCGCCAACACCACGCCTGCTTCTGCCTCGCTGAACCGCTTGCACCCCTTGCCACAGTACCTCTGCCAGGGGGAAGGGAGACAGGGAGGCAGGGAGGCAGGGAGGCAGGGAGGCAGGGAGGGGGAGAATGAGGCAGGTGGTGGGCGATGTGAGCCCACATGTTGCCCACCGCCCGCTGCAGCGCCAGCACCACGCCTGCTTCCGCCTCATTGAACCGCTTGCACCCCTTGCCACCGTAGCGCTGTGATGTGGGGAAGGGGAGAAGGGGAGGAGGAAGGGGAGGAGGAAGGGGAGGAGGGTGGAGAAGAGGGAGGGGGGACTCAGAGAGACGGAATTTAGACGGGTAGTGGTGTCATGGAGGCAGGGGGAGGAAAAGTACGCAGTAGCGAGAGCTGGCAGAAGGAGTTAAGCGATGCAAGCCAGCATTGTTGGGTGGCAACCTCTGTGCCTTGTCTCATCCACGTTACATCATGCCGCTACCACACGTCCCACCCGCACATGCACGCACCTGCAGGCCTGGTTTGAGCTGGTTCACCCAGCACCGGGGGCGGCTCTTGAGTCGACACAACTGTCTTTTGAGCCAACTCAAAGGTGCCTCTTTGAGTGGACTCCCAACGTGACTACTTAATTTTGAGCCGACTAACTAGAACAACGCACCTGCAGGCCGGGCTTGAGTTGGTTCACCCAGCGCAGGCGACAACTCTTCCCTGAGCGACGGAGCAGCCCTCTGGCTCTGAGCGCGCCCCAGTTGCGAGGGCCGTGGCACCGCACATACTCCATCAACACTCCGTCCTCCTCCGGTAACCACGTGCCCTTCGCCAACCCTCGACCCTCCGGGTCGCTGCTGTCGCCGCCCGTCGCCGCGCCGCCTGTGCTTGTGCCGCCCATGCTCGTGCCGCCGCCCAGGCTCGTGCCGCCCATGCTGGTGCCGCCCAGGCTCGTCTTGCCGCCGCCGCCCGTGGCCGTGCCGCCCAGGCTGCAGCTGCTCATTCCGGCGCCTGCCGCCCCGCCTCCACTCATGCTTCCACTGACGTCATAGGAGCACGCAGCAGGATCCACAACAACAACACCGGCAGCAGTAGCACCACCACGGACAGCACCAGCAGAAACACCAGCAGCGGCATGAGCAGCAGCAGCAGTTTGGGACGGAGGGGAGACGCAGAGGTCAGCATCACGCAGCAGCGCCTGAGCCAGGGCCTGGTTCTCCCGCTGGAATGCCGGGAGATCCGACTCTGACTCCCCTGCTGCCTCACCAGTCTTTACCACTGCATCAATGCTGGGAACAGCAGCGGCCGCAGGAAGACGAGGAGAGAGGGAAGGAGGAGAAGGAGTGGCAGCGGCAGGAGAGGTGGCAGCAGGGGTGGCGGCAGCAAGGGTGGCGGCAGCAGGAGTGGTGAGCACCACGTGGCTGCTGCGGCTTCGGCTCATGCCGGTGCCTGCTGCTGCTCGCTTGCTGCCTCCCCGAGCGCCCAGTTGAGTCACACGAGGCCTGGCGCTGCTTCTGCTGCGACTCTTGCGCATCCCCGCCCGTGCTGCACTCGCACCACCACTGCCAGCACCACCAGCACCGTCACCGGGCGCAGCAACACCAGCACCAGCAGCAGCAGCACCGAAGGCAGCAGCGACTGCCTCTGTTCCCTGCAGCTTCCCCTGGCCATGCAGCAAGCCAGACGCTGGAGACTCGTGATAAGCTCCGCCCTCCGCCGCGCCACTCACACCCGCTCCTCCGCCCTCGCTCGCCCACACGGCCACCGGCCTGCTGCGGCTGCTGCTGCTGTGGCTGTGCCACATGCCGCACCCGACAGCACCGCCGGTGCTTTCAATTTCAAGAAAGGATGCGTCCCCCGTTACCGCCGCCAGCCCTGCTACTGTGCTGTCCAGAGGAGCAGCATTTGCAGGCGCCGTGCTGGCCCGCGGGAGCCGCATGCACGTGCTTGTGTTCACATTCACGTTCCCATTCGAGCCAGCAGCAGCAGCAGCGGCAGGGGCAGAGTTTCTGAGAGATGCGGCGCCGGCTGTGGTAGCAGCAGTGGCAAGCGCAGGTACGGGCGGTGCAAGGCGCAACCCGGGCGGCATCTGCAGCAGCTGAGCGCCCTGGCGGCCGCCTCTGCCCCCCTTATAGTCACACGACTGCACCACCAGAGCCCTCCGCTCGGGCTTCACCTCCGCCGGTGACTTCAGGTCCGGCCAAGCCTGTGTGTGAGGCTCGGATTGGAGCAGCAGGTGCTTCTGCTGCTGGTGTTGCTGCTGCTGCTGCTGCTGCTGCTGCTGCTGCTGTAGCATCCACAGGTTGGTCGAATCAGGCGCAATGGCGGAATGCTCGTGCGCACCAACGAGACCGCTTGTACCGAGTACAGTGGACGCATCAAGACCGACGGTGCTGCAGTGCCCAACAAGGGAAGCATCACGCAGCATCGTTGAACATCGTTGCTCCTCCCACTGACCAGCCGAAGTGCCGTGGGCGCTAGCAGGTAAGGAGCCATTGAGAGTGGCATGATGAGCACCGGCGTGATTATCATACCCCACCGGCTGCGTCCCGCTATAAGCCGCCTCAAGAAGAGCTCCGTTCAAATGCCCTGCGGCGGTGATGCTGGCAATGCGGTTGTCGAATCCCATCGCAGGGTCGCACTGGCCTTGGCCGTGCACCATCCCGCCGCCATTCCCGCCGCCAATACCGCCGTGGATACCGCCGCCGTGGATACCGCCGTGGATACCGCCGTGGGTACCGCCGTGAATACCGCCACCCAGGAGATCTTCCAATGACGTGCCGCCCAGCAGCATGTCACTCGCGCCGCCCAAATGAAAGTCACTGCCGCCCAGGAAAACGTCGTTTGTGCCGCCCAAACTCGCATCCCCGCCGCCCAGGAGCATGGCCATCATGCTGAGAGTTCCCTGCGGGTCGTCCGCGGCATCCCATTGGTCCACGTCATCCGCCATGGCCATCTGTAGCGCCTCCATCGACATGGACATTGCCGTGCTGCTGCTCCCCTCCATTGTCCCGCGCCGCGCTCGACGTGCGTTGGCAGAGATTGACGGAACCTTACGGAGTTTGACGGAGATTGACGGAGATCGTAGACGGCGATCGCTGACGGACTGAGACCGTTATCGGAAATCGTTGTCGGAGCTGACGGATTCTGTCTCAAATTGACGGAATGTGTGGCCGTACTTCTAATCTGCGCGAATCGGTACGAGGAGGATCGAGGGCCGTGGATGTGCGAGCGATATGGTGCGCGCTGCTTGGAATCGCGATGTCGATCGGATCATGCACGCTACTCGTGAAGGCTATGAGCAATGATTTGTGGAGGCTATTGTTATTGAAAAGCTTGCATGCTTGTAGTACAAGATGAACAAGGCGAGGGGCGAGGCTGAAAGGAAGTAAGGAGATCCTCGTACACTACTAGCTCTCGGGGGGGGGTCGTGCGTAGCTCGCTAGTGCCGTCGGGAGACTACAATCGAGCGGAAGCGAAGCCCCGCCGCAGCGGAGGCGGCGCAAGGCGAGGGGGGCGGACGGCCTTTCATCCCCCGCGCCTGCGTACGCGCGCGTTACAGCGTACCCTTGGCGGGGGAGGGACGTGGGTAGCCGTCAGTCAATCAGTCCGTGCGAGCGTGCGAATGCGTGAATCTCGCCGCGAGCATCCCTCTTCTCTCCTTGCGCAGTTACGCTGACAAAACGGCAGTTACGCTGGGTTGATCTTCAACGCTTCGCGACGAGTCAAGACTCAGAACTCTAGACCCCGAGTCTACTCCAATGAGCTGGGTTTGGCTTGGGTCGAGCCCCGCTGGGAGCATCTGTCGCAGCCTCGGCAAGGCCTGCCAGACTCGGCACTGTGGTGCCGCGGGTGACACCTCCGAACCTCGCGGATGGTACAGAAGAGGGAAGGCGATCGGTCGGTGGTGCTGCGTACTAACGCCAATATCGGTCTGTGGGAGATCGATATCGGGAAATAATATCTCTCCTTTTTCAACAGTGAAGGGAAGAAAAATATATTGGCATCAAGTTGACTCTGCTCCTTCGGACTGTGGTGTATTCCTTAGCTATTAAAGCCCAAGACCCGAATTACAAAAAAAAAAGGGCAAACTGTGCACAGTTTGCCTACCGAACTCACAGTTGACCTCCCGAGCCAGGCAAGTTACCACAAAGGATCGCATACAAAAAACACTGAGTCGTTCAGCAGAACAGGTTTGGTTGGGCGATAGTCCCAACAACACCCTCCACAAGGAACATCCGCTCAAAGTGTGCACAGTTTGCCCTTCACGTAATTCAGGTCGTGCCCGTCCTCATAGTACTCTTAGATTCAATCTAGCAGAATAAAACGACAATATAGCATAGGACACGAGCACTTCCACATTCATTCCGGGACCCTTAGAACTCCAGGCGTATCTATCCTACGGCAAAAGTAGAAACCCCAACGGGATTGCGGTTGCCAAGTCGCTCGCACCACCCCCCTCCGTGCGGAATCGGACACAGATTGAACTTATATGGGTAGTAGCGGCATTAATGGCTTCATCGCGTGACCCTTCGCGTAAGAAAGCAGCGGAACGCGCACGCGTGGTAGATTTTAAAAGCAACAAACACCTTCACGTACGGGCCAGCCGACCGAATTTCCCGGCATCTTACGATAGAGGAGCCGAATGCCATCAAAACGACGATGGGAGCGAAAACGAGCAGAACAATGTCTACGGCGAGAACACGCCACTGCAGTGACTCATTCCGAATGGAAGATTGCGCGTCCAATCTCCTCTCATTGCGTCGCGCTAAAACTCGTTACAACTTCGAAGGCGCTTAGATCCCGTCATTTCGAAACTTGTTCTTGAACCACTTCTACCCTAACTCCCTCTCCCATCGGCCTAACATACATGTCTTTCGCGAAACCACGGCGTCAGTCCGCGATTTTTAAAAAGTCCCTGACTTTATCGAATGTCGGTCCAGCCAGATGCAGGTCAGTAGTTCTGCAGTAATCCGCCAATTTCGTACCGGAATAAGCACGCCATTTCGCGACCGTCCAGAGAAGCGTCGCGAACGCCTCCCCCCACCGTCGCCCATGGTTCCACCCACCGTCGCCCACGCTTCCCCCCACCGTCGCACACGCTTCCCCCCACCGTCGCCCACGCTTCCTCCCACCGTCACCCACGCTTCCCCCCACCATCGCCCACGCTTCCCCCCACCGTCGCCCACGCTTCCCCACACCGCCCACGCTTCCTCCCACCGTCGCCCACGCTTCCTCCTACCTTCATCCACGCTACCCCCCACCGTCGCCCACGCTTCCCCCCACCGTCACCAAGTCGTCCCCCCACCGTCGCCCACGCTTCCCACCACCGTCGCCAAGTCGTCCCACCACCGTCGCCCACGCTTCCCACCACCGTCGCCCACGCTTCCCCTCCCATCGTCCGCCCTGTCGCCTGGAAATTTCCCTCCCCGCCGAGGTCTCTTCCCTCCCACCTCTCTCCACGTCGTCATCACTCCCCTGCCTGCCACGTTCCCCCTCTTCATCACCATCGCTTCTCCACCTGCGCCGCCCACTCTCTCATCCGTGCCTATCGTCTTTAGGTTCGTTGTTGCTTCCCTTCCCATTGCCGCATTTGGTCGCTCTCGCACTCCCCATTGCCACCTTCTCTACTCCTACCACCCCACCCTTGCAACCTCCTTTCCTTCTCTCTCATTCTCCCTCCCTCCCTGCCTCTCACCCACCCTGGCCGCGGACGTATGGCGGGCCGGTCTCGAGCGCTGGGGATGGGGTCGTGACTCGTTCGCGGTGGGATGTGGGAGGGTGCGTGGTCTTGGGCCCCTACCCTTCTCTGTCTTGCACCAACCCCGCACGCATGGCAGGTGCTGCTGCGGCTTTGGAGCAGAGCGCAGGGCGCATAGCCGCGGCAACGCGTGCGGTCGGGCAGCAAGGGGCGCAGTGCTGCAGGGGGCACGGCAGGGGAGCGGGGGAGCGGGGCAGGGAGGGCGGTGTTTCGCGTGGCAGGGGAGGCGGAGGGGAGGGAGAATTGGGTCCAGGAATCCTCCTATCCCCCGTTCCACCCTTATACCCTGCCCTCCTGACTGGCTCTGTTCGTTCGTTCCCCCACAGTCGTCCTCCCCTCCCTTCTCCGTTGGGAAGGCACCGCTGCAGGTGGACGGAGTGACGTCGCACGTGACGCGGGAATGGGTGGGCTACCCGCATGCGATGTGCATGGATATGCCCAGCACGTCCGCGTTCCACTCATCCTTCCTTCATCTCATCATCCCTTCCTCTCATCCTCCTCTCCTCTTATCCTCCCTCCCTCTCATCCTCCCTTCCTCTAATCCTCTCTTTCTCTCATCCTCCCTTCCTCTCATCCTCCTTTCCTCTCACCCTCTCTTCCTCTCCTCCTCCCTTCCCTTCTTCCGCCCTTCCTCTCATCCTTCCTCTCATCCGCCCTTCCTCTCATCCTTCCTTCCTCTCATCCACCCTTCCTCTCGTCCTCCCTCCCCCTCATCCGCCCTTCCTCTCGTCCTCCCTTCCTCTCGTCCTTCCCCCCCCTCATCCGCCCTTCCTCTCGTCCTTCCCCCCCCTCATCCGCCCTTCCTCTCATCCGTCCTTCCTCTCATCCGCCCTTCCTCTCATCCGCCCTTCCTCTCATCCGCCCTTCCTCTCATCCTCCCTTTCTCTCATCCTCCCTTCCTCTCATCCTCCCTTTCTCTCATCCTCCCTTCCTCTCATCCTCCCTTTCTCTCATCCTCCCTTCCTCTCATCCTCCCTTCCTCTCATCCTCCCTTTCTCTCATCCTCCCTTTCTCTCATCCTCCCTTCCTCGCATCCTCCCTTCCTCTCATCCTCCCTAACTCTCATCCTCCCTTCCTCTCATCCTCCCTTCCTCTCATCCTCCCTTCCTCTCATCCTCCCTTCCTCTCATCCTCCCTTCCTCTCATCCTCCCTTCCTCTCATCCTCCCTTGTATGCAGGTGCAGGTGAACCCTACCGTGCAAGAAGCCATGTTACTACCACCGTTCTGGAACATGCTCTGTATATTGTTTTGATTCATAGTAGGCGTATGTACATTGATATGAAGGGAACTACAGCAGCCATCTCTGTTCAAATTATCCAATGTGAATGGTTCAAGCTTGCAAACTGGGAGTGTTTTGTAATACACAATGAAGTTTGGAGGTGCAAAACTCAGAGTTGTCCATGACTTTCATGTTTACATTGTTGAGGTCTCAGGCATGCCGATGTAGAGAGGGTTTTATGCCTTGCAATGTCAGCAATATTGTTATCCGGTAGCGCATCCAACGGAAACGTGGAGAGTTCAAAATATGAGGGACCATGAGACGCGAGGGTTTGAAGACGGGCATGCACTGTAGATGTACGACCGCAACATTGAGAACGCGAGTGGATTGCGTCAGTATCTGCAATTGCTGGGACGTGAAAGGGCGAGGGAAGAGGGGGTTGGGATGGTAGCAAACAAGGAAAGAATGTCAAATGGCAAACAGAGAATGAAAATGTTGTGGAGGGGGAGGGGGGATGAGAGGAACGGAGGATGAGAGGAACGGCGGATGAGAGGGAGGGATGATGAGATGAAGGGATGACGAGAGGGAGGGAGGACGAGAGGAAGGGAGGACGAGAGGAAGGGAGGATGAGAGGGAGAGAGGTAGAGAGGAAGGGAGGATGAGAGGAAGGGAGGATGAGAGGAAGGGAGGATGAGAGGAAGGGAGGATGAGAGGAAGGGTGGATGAGAGGAAGGGCGGATGAGGGGGAGGGAGGACGAGAGGAAGGGTGGATGAGAGGAAATGAGGATGAGAGGGAGAGTGGAAGTGAGGAAGGGAGGATGAGAGGAAGGGAGGACGAGAGGGAGAGAGGAAAAGAGGAAGGGAGGACGAGAGGAAAGGAGGATGAAAGGAAGGGCGGACAAGAGGAAAGGAGGATAAGAGAAATGGAGGATGAGAGGATGGGATGATGAGATGAAGGGAGGATGAGAGGAAGGGAGGGTGAGAGGAAGGGCGGATGAATGGGAGAGAGGATGAGAGAAAGAGAGGTTGAGAGGAAGGGAGGATGAGAGGAAGGGAGGATGTGAGGAAGGGAGGATGTGAGGAAGGGAGGATGAGAGGGAGGGAGGACGAGAGGAAGGGAGGATGAGAGGAAGGGAGGATGAGAGGAAGGGTGGATGAGTGGAAGGAAGGATGAGAGGAAGGGCGGATGAGAGGAAGGGAGGATGTGAGGAAGGGAGGATGAGAGGAAGGGCGGACGAGAGGAAGGGAGTATGTGAGGAAGGGAGGACGAGAGGAAGGGAGGATGAGAGGGAGAGTGGAAGTGAGGAAGGGAGGATGAGAGGAAGGGAGGATGAGAGGGAGAGAGGAATCGAGGAAGGGAGGACGAGAGGAAAGGAGGATGAAAGGAAGGGCGGACAAGAGGAAAGGAGGATAAGAGAAATGGAGGATGAGAGGATGGGATGAAGGGAGGATGAGAGGAAGGGAGGATGAGAGGAAGGGAGGATATGAGGAAGGGAGGACGAGAGGAAGGGAGGATGAGAGGGAGAGAGGACGAGAGGAAGGGAGGACGAGAGGAAAGGAGGATGAGAGGAAGGGAGGACGAGAGGAAGGGCGGATGAGGGGGAGGGAGGACGAGAGGAAGGGTGGACGAGAGGAAGGGTGGACGAGAGGAAGGGTGGATGAGATGAAGGGAGGATGAGAGGGAGAGAGGAAGAGAGGAAAGGAGGATAAGAGAAAAGGAGGACGAGAGGGAGAGAGGATGAGATGAAGGGATGATGAGAGGAAGCGAGGATGAGAGAAAGAGAGGTTGAGAGGAAGGGAGGACGAGTGGAAGGGAGGATGAGAGGAACGGCGGATGAGAGGGAGGGAGGATAAGAGGAAGGGCGGATGAATGGGAGAGAGGATGAGAGAAAGAGAGGTTGAGAGGAAGGGAGGTTGAGAGGAAGGGAGGATGAGAGGAAGGGAGGATGTGAGGAAGGGAGGATGAGAGGAAGGGAGGACGAGAGGAAGGGAGGATGAGAGGAAGGGAGGATGAGAGGAAGGGCGGATGAGGGGGAGGGAGGATGAGGGGGAGGGAGGATGAGGGGGAGGGAGGACGAGAGGAAGGGCGGACGAGAGGAAGGGCGGATGAGGGGGAGGGAGGATGAGGGGGAGGGAGGACGAGGGGGAGGGAGGACGAGAGGAAGGGCGGATGAGAGGAAGGGCGGATGAGATGAAGGGCGGATGAGATGAACGGAGGATGAGAGGGTGAGTGGAAGAGAGGGCGACGGGATGGGAAATGAGGGCGACGGGAAGGGAAATGAGGGCGACGGGAAGGGGAATGAGGGCGACGTGCAGGGAAATGAGGGCGACGGGAAGGGAAATGAGGGCGACGGGAAGGGAAATGAGGGCGAAGGGAAGGGAAATGAGGGCGACGGGAAGGGAAATGAGGGCGATGGGAAGGGAAATGAGGGCGACGGGAAGGGAAATGAGGGCGACGGGAAGGGAGATGAGGGCGACGGGAAGGGAATTGAGGGCGACGGGAAGGGAATTGAGGGCGAAGGGAAGGGAAATGAGGGCGAAGGGAAGGGAAATGAGGGCGACGGGAAGGGAAATGAGGGCGACGGGAAGCTGAAATGAGGGCGACTCGAAGCTGAAATGAGGGCGACGGGAAGCTGAAATGAGGGCGACGGGAAGCTGAAATGAGGGCGACGGGAAGCTGAAACTAGGGCGACGGGAAGCTGAAATGTGGGCGACGGGAAGCTGAAATGTGGGCGACGGGAAGCTGAAATGTGGGCGACGGGAAGCTGAAATGTGGGCGACGGGAAGCTGAAATGAGGGCGACGGGAAGCTTCTCACCATGCGATATATGAAAGGCGGGCGCGAGAAAACGGCGGGGAGGGGATGGTGACGGCAGGGCGGGAGGCCAGATGCTGAGAGCGCCTCTAGCGCGTGGGAGTCTATTCGGCACCGACGAACGGCGTAAGAAAGCTACGCATTGCAGACGACGGATACTTCCGCCCTGTGACCTATGGGAAGCGAGCGTTGTCGAGTGCCCGTGTATTAGCTTATATTTTTTATCTAGCAGAATAAAACGCCACTTTAGCCCTCGATGTGTCTCGCTACCCCACGTGCGCATTGGCTATAGCACGTCATTGCTATCCTCTCAGCAAACATCGCACTTCACCGGTACAGTCCACACCTGTTGGAAGGAAACGGTGGTGGGGCGGTGGTATGCCCCCAACCCACCGAGGGCACTTCGGTGCCTTCGATCCCTTTGACTAGGGATCGGTGGGGTGGCACCGATTGACTTCGGGAGACTCACCCTTCGGTGCCACGTGGCGGCACCACATTCCAACCTTCAAGTGCAAGGCGAATTCGGTGTGTTCGGTGTGAAATTCGGTGGTCGAATTTCACCCCAACCGAAATGTTACACGCGGCGCATTCGCGACGCGAGTGTAGCGATGTGATGTTACATGTGCGGTTCGATGTAATGCATTTGCTATAAATCGACCTGCCTTGTATGCATGCTTTATACTGAAATCCTGAATCTTCTTGTACATGGTCCATTCGAACCAAAATTCCAGAGAGGTCTATCCTTGCTTCTAAGAGCACTAGCAATCACGTGAACGCCAATATCTCGGCGTATACTTGGGCGATTAACGTGTTTGACGGCTTGTTGGAAAGCCAAGACTGTGCTCTATCGTTTAGTGCAACTTAGAGTTCCTGCAAAGTAGAGGAGACGCCTCTACAACAGTGGTATCAGAGCTGGTCGGTAGAGTCTACGTGCGCGACTTGTAGCAAGCATGATGACGTCAAGCGAAACCTCCGGCACTTCCTTAGGTGGTGTCGTCTCGAATCCCGGCGAACCCTGGACAAACGCGACGGTGTTCGACACGTCGGCGGTTCCGATTTTCACGGGACAAAACTACTCCGCGTGGAAATTTAAGTTCCAAGTGCTCATGATGGAGCGGGGACTTTGGGGTCTCTTCGACGGAACGGAGAAAAAGCCGGTCAACGAGGACGAGATCGCGGCATGGAAGAAGAAGGACCAAAAGTCGTTCGCAACGTTGATTTCGCGCATCGGCATCAACCTCGTGAGTTCGGTGCGCACGTGCATCAAGCTCGAAGCTTCGGCGCGTGAAGCATGGAAGCGGCTCGAGACGATGCACGTGAACAAGACTCTCCACGGCAAGATCCTAGCCCGAAATGCGTTCTACACTGTGAAGTTGCGCGCGGGCGAATCGATGCACGAGTATGCGACTCGTGTGGAGGAACTCGGGGAAACGTTCATGGACCTCGGTGGAACGGTCACGGAGGAGGATTGGATTCTCACCTTGCTTTGCGGCCTTCCGGAAGAGTGGTCGACGGTGATTACGACACTCGATAGCGTGCAAAACACTTGGACGAAGGAAATGGTGGTCGGTCGGCTTCTCCATGAAGAATCGCGACGCCGACAATTCGCTAACGAGAGCGTGGAGACCGCCATGTTCTCCGGAGGGAGCTCCGGAAAGAAGTCCAAGTGGAGCAACGGTGAGGCAAAGAAGTCGTCCGGTGGAAACGGTCGCGGCAAGGGCAACGCATCGAACGGTTCGAGCAAGTGTCATTATTGTCGCAAAGCGGGGCACTTTTGGCGTGAATGTCGGAAGCGGCCGAGCGATTGGATTCCATCGAAGGCGCGGAACCAAGAGGGCAACGCGCACACGGCATCCTGCGAGGCGGATGATTCAACGGAGTCGCTCGTTTTGTTGGCCGGTGACGGGATCAACACTTCAAACGACGCGTGGTTCCTCGACACCGGTGCAACACAACACATGACGCACTCGGCTTCGCTCCTCAACAACGTCGGTGCTCCGGGAGACGTCAAGCGCGTCGTCTTCGGGAACGATAAATCGCTACCGGTGGTTGGAGTTGGGAGTATGCGTCTCATCATCGATGGCGGGCCGGTGGACATCACGAACGTGCTTCACGTCCCGGGATTGAAGGTGAATCTACTCTCCGTCACTCAACTCGCAAAGAAAGACGTGAAGGTCACCATCGATGGCGCGAAGATGAACCTCTTTTGGAAGGGGAAGCAATTCGCGCAAGGCGTTCTCAACGGACAACTCTACCAACTCAAGACGCATCCGAAAAACGGCCTCATCCAACGTGGCGCAAGGCTCCAAGGCGACTCTCAAAATGTGGCATAATCGGCTTGCGCACGCCAACTACGACTCGGTCAAAGAGTTGGCCAACAAAGGACTTGCGAAGGGATTTGACGTGATCGCCGGCAACGACGAGAAGGGCGTGTGCGCGGCGTGTGTCGAAGGAAAAATGGCTCGCAAGCCATTTGGTAGCCGTACCTCACCCCTCGTTAAGGACCCGCTTGCGCTTGTTCACATGGACGTGTGTGGACCGATGCGGCATGCATCAAAGGGAGGAGCGCGGTTCCTCTTAGTGATGCTCGACGACGCGACGCGGATGAGTTGGACCCGACTCTTGAAGGCTAAGGGAGATGCGGCCAAGGCGATTCAAGAGTGGGCGCTCGACGTTTGCGACGACGGCAAGAAGCGGATCAAGTGCATTCGCACCGACGGTGGCGGCGAATTCGTGAGCAACGAGCTTGAAAAATGGATGAAAAGCAAGGGCATTAAGCACGACGTCACGACACCCTACACACCCCAACAAAATGGAGCGGTAGAGCGGCTCAATCGCACATTGATGGAGGCCGTTCGTTCACTTCTTCAACACTCCAAGCTTGGGAACGAGTGGTGGGGAGAGGCGAGTGCGCTAGCGGCATGGATTCGTAATCGTGTGCCAACAAAGGTGCTACCGGGAACGACTCCGTTCGAAGCATGGACCGGAACGAAGCCGAACCTATACCGCCTACGCACCTTTGGGTGCCTTTGCTACTACCATGTATCGGATCCACTTCGCCACAAGTTGCAACCGAAAGCTCGTGCGGCGATCTACTTGGGGATTGCGGCGAACGAGCGTGCATGGCGAGTGTGGGATTTGGATGAAAAACGCGTCGTCACGTCTCGAGATGTGATCTTCGACGAAGACAAGTTCCCGACAAAGGAGAAACAAACGCCGCAACTCACCGTCGTCCTTCCCGCACGAGAGGAGGATGAAGCGGTGGAGGTTTCACCGCACGTGAAGAAGGGAGCCGAAAGTGGAGGGGGAGAGAACGAGGAGTGCGATGATGATGTCGAGGAGGTGCCTCCAACCGAGGAGGCCACTTCCTCCGCACCTTCTTCCCTATCATTGGCGTTGACTCGCGGGCGTCGTACACCTCGCCCCAACACGAGGTTAACCGACTATGCTACGGTCGCCGTTGGGGAGTCGGATGAGGAGAGTGCGGCGATTTGCCTAGCGACCATCGGCGACGATAACCCACGCACTCACAAGGAGGCTTTGGCTTCCCCGGATGCACCACTATGGAAGCAAGCGATGGAGAGGGAGTTAGCATCGATCAAGGAGAACGATGTTTTCGAGCTCGTCGACCCGCCGAAGGGTGCCTACTTGGTGGGATGCAAGTGGGTGCTTAGGAAGAAATTGGGAGCCGATGGAGGTGTCGAACGCTACAAGGCGCGGCTTGTGGCGCAAGGGTACACTCAACGGGAGGGGGAGCACTATAGTGAGACCTTCGCTCCCCGTTTCGAAGGCCTCCACTCTTCGGGTGTTGCTCGCGCTAGCGGCATCTCTCAACCTCGAGGTGGAACAATTGGACGTTTGCACCGCCTTCCTCTACGGGCTTCTCATGGAAGAAGTCTACATGCGGCAACCCCCGGGGTACGATGACGGTAGCGGTCGGGTGTGGAAGCTCAAGCGTACCCTCTATGGCTTGAAGCAAAGCCCACGCGGATGGTACAAGCGCATCGACGACTTTCTTCTTCAACACGGCTTCGCGCGTAGCGTGTGTGATAGCGCTTTGTACGTGTTGAAGGAGGGGGAGAAGCAATTGGTGCTTTTGCTCTACGTCGATGACCTCCTTCTTTTCTCCGACTCCAAAGACCTCATTCGAGAGGTCAAGCAACGGCTAGGGGCGGAGTTTGCCATGAGGGACTTGGGACCGGTGACGTACTACCTCGGGATGCACGTCGACCGCGACCGCGCGAACGGGACCATTTACCTCCACCAAGAAAAATATGTGAAAGGGGTTGTGGAGCGCTTCGGCATGGGTAATAGCAACCCGGTGGGGACGCCACTAGACACGGGATTTTCTTGCCTCCCGGGAGAGGAAGAATCCGCCCTCGACGAAGCCGAAGGGAAGCGGTTTCATTCGCTAGTCGGCTCACTCATGTATGCCGCCGTTTCCACCCGTCCCGACCTCTCATACGCCGCCGGGGTACTTGGACGAGCCGTAAGCAACCCTCATACCGAGCATGTGCGTGCGGGAGGACGTGTTCTACGCTACCTCCAAGGCACACCCAACTTGGGAATCGTATATGAAGCCGGTCCAATCGTGCTTAAGGGCTACACCGACTCGGATTATGCCGGTGATCAAAGCAAGCGCAAGAGTACCGGCGGGTACGTCTTCACCTTGCTTGGGGAGCCGTGAGTTGGCAAAGCAAGTTGCAACCAACCGTGGCTCTAAGCACAACGGAAGCGGAGTATATGGCACTCACTCAAGGAGCCATGGAGGCAATATGGCTACGGCGCCTTCTAGCGGAGCTTGGGCATCCTCAAGCCGACCCAACTCCTCTCTTTTGTGACAACCAAGCGGCCATAAACCTCACTCACAATGCCGTCCTTCACGAGCGTACCAAGCACATTGAGGTGAAGCATCACTTCATTCGTGAGGTGGTCGAGAGAGGTGAGGTCAAGGTCACATACATAAACACCAAGGCGCAACCCGCGGATTTCCTCACTAAACCACT